TGTGTGTGTGCGTGCGTGCGTGCGTTGTCGTGTGTGTGTGTGTGTGTGTGTGTGTGTGTGTGTGTGTGCGTGTGTGCGTGTGTGTGTGTGCGTGTGCGTGCGTGTGCGTGCGTGTGATTGAAGCCGCTTGCCTCCAGGCGTTTCTGCCGCAAAACATGTAATCCTTGCTCACCCCTCTTGTCCAAAAATACACATATGTCCTTTGTACATCGCCACGCCTGGCTCGGTGGTGTCAGGGAAACGGCTATTGAGCCAGGCGTTCCGGCGGCGCAGCATGCGCGATGTTGCAGAATCTCGCCGTGAGGGAATCCAGACATATGTCAGCGGCCTCATTGCGTAAGCATTCAAGAGTGATTGTGTGGTTGATTGTGTGGTTGATTGTGTGGTTGATTGTGTGAGTGTGTGAGTGTGTGAGTGTGTGTATGCATGTGTGTGTCTTCGTTGTCTATCTGTGTGCGTATGCGTGCGTCTGTCTGTAAAGTCCTCTCCACCCTTCCCACACTTCTCTCTTTCCCTGCCTCTCTCTCTGTATGTTGTTTGTACCTCATCACCTGCACGTTCCCCCAATCACCAAACTCTTGCCACATCCCACCCCCTCCCTTTGCCTCCATCTCACCGTGATGGCTCAACAGGCTGCCCAGCAAGATTTCCCGCAGTGCACACGTCCTCAACTTCTTCCTCTCCTGCCCAGTCTGCCTCGGCCTCCTTGATGAGTGCGCCAGCGGCTGCGTAGTACCCCCAGATCAACTCCCTGCTGCAACCAACCTCACGTTGACTCATCATCATCATCATCATCATCAGCAGCAGCAGCAGCAGCAGCAGCAGCAAGCACACCAACAGCATGCTGACACAGTGTCTGCTGCAGTTGGTGCCCGTGCATCCTTATCATCATCGTCGTCAGCACACGGCTCGCCTGCCTCACGCCCCTCCACGCAAATGATGGTGCCGGTATCAGCCCAGCAGGCAGCTGGCGCTGCACTGATGCCGCCACAGCAGCAGCAGTACGCGTATGTGCAGCAGGCACCAGGGCTTGGTATGATGGACGGAACACCGCCAACCAGCCCATTCATGGGCCCTGCTCACAGGCAACATCAGCAGCTGCCACACCCAATGACAGCTCCCCCACCCGCGCAAGTCGTTTTCCAGCACCCACACCAGCACCAGCACCAGCACGTGCAGTTCTTTCATCCACAGCAGCCACAGCAGCAGCAGCAGCAGCAGCATGCAGTTCTGCTGCACCCATCCCAGTACCTGCACTACCCGCACCACCAACACTTCCAGCACCAGCACCAGTTTGCTCAGCAACACCAGCATCCACATGCACACGGGGTCAGCACACTCGTGCACACGCGTCCAGCGATGGGGGCGTGGTCTCCGCTCTCTGTGCAGAGCTCCCCCGGTGTAGGGGTCCGGCGCACGCACCCACATCCGACCAACGCAAGCCCACGCAGGTGTGTGTGTGTGTGTGTGTGTGTGTGTGTTGCGGTTTGTAGTTGTAGTTTGTGCTGCGTGCTTTGCGGTTGCTGAACACTGTTGCTCCAGTTGCTTGTCCGCGTCTTTCAACTGTGGTGACTCGCCCATCCAACCACCACCACCACCACCACCACCACCACCACCACCACCACCACCACCACCACCACCACTATTGTGTCGCAGCGGTGGGGGTCGTCCCCGGCACAGCAGCGCGAGTGTGCAGTCGAGCCAGACACCCTCGCCGTTTGCTCGTCGTCATACCACATCCTCTCTTCCCGAGGACCTCAACAGAATCCCCTCTGCTGGTATGCACCGTACAGTGCGTGTGTGTGTGTATGAGAGAGAGAGAGAGAGAGTGTGTGTGTGTGTGCGTGTGTGCGTGTGTGAGCACGTGCTGCTTGCACAAATGCGTGTATGTGTCAGCACAGCTTGACCAGCAGGCAATCACCGTTCGTTTTCTATTCTTCCTGTTTCTGCTGCACCGTTGCAGGTTCAGATGGGAATCTGACACGTCCAGAGTCTGCTGACGACGATGCCTTTGTATTTGCAGCCAGTTCCACTGCCACCACTGCCACCACTGCTGCCAGTCGTGGTGATGGTACAAGCAGAGCCAACACAGGGAGAGGCACCACGCGAGTGGTTGCCAAAGCCAGCAAAGGCAATGAGGAACCACGCAAGGCCACGGCACAATCGCCGCCCACACAGCAACAGCAGCAGCAGCAGAAGCAGCAGCAGCAGCAAGCACGGCAATCGAGCTCTGGTGCTAAAGAAGAGGCGAAGACGGTGGAGAGGGCAACAACAGCAGCGTCATCAACAGCAGGCAAAACGTCAGCATCTGCAGATACAGGGACGACCACAACCTCACCCGAGCGCTCCGCCAGTTCCACCACACCTGAACGGGGACAACAAGCACATGCGAAGCAGAAGGCACCACCACCACGAACCGACACTGCCACCACCGACACCACCACGTCGAAAGGCAGCAGCAGCCACGATAGAGAGGCGAGTGGGAAGCAGAAGCCACCACCGCACACAGCAACGGTAACAACGCAACCCGCTGGGAGGGCAACTGTGGGCAAAGACAAACCTGCTGTGCCCAATTCATCCGACCAGGCATCTGCCTCCTCCTCCTCCTCCTCTTCACAACAGCAGCAGCAGCAACAACAACAACAACAACAACAACAACAACAACAACAACAACAACAACAACAACAACAACAACAACAACAACAACAACAACAACAACAACAACAACAACAACAGCAGCAGCAGCAGCAGCAGCCAGCACCGCCCCGGATTCTGTGCTCGTTGTGTGGAAGTTCAGAGCATGTGACGGCAGCCTGCAAGCAGGTGGGTTTGATGTCAGCTGCGGCAGTGGCAGCCGTTGTAGTAGGGGTACAACTTCCCTCACACACACACACACACGCACACACACACACATACATACACACACACAGACACTCACGCGCTCACACACACACACACACGTTTTGTGCCTGGCTTCCTCTGCTTGTGCGATGACAGCCGACATGCTCAGACGACGAATTGCAGCAGCAGCTGCTCCGCCTCAACCTCATCGCCGATGATGACGACAAGACCACGAGTGACAATCGGGTAACGCTCCACACATACACACACACACACGCACACACACACACACACACACACACACACACACACACACACACACACACACACTCCAGCGGCTGCTGCTATTGTTGTTGGTGGTGATGATGATGCAGCTCAAAACTTTGTGGTGGTGGTGGTGGTGGTGGTGGTGGTGGTGGTGGTGGCAGATGTGTGCTCGACTCGGATGCGACACAACGATGACTCACACGTACACCCTCCTCCTCTCAAAAACAAAAACAAACCGCAAATCCCACCTTTCCCACCAACGCACACCAGGGCGTGCGCGTGCTGGTGGTACAGCGGTACTGGTGGCTGAAGCAGCATCGCCTGCACAAGTACGCAAAGCATTTTGTCTCGCATTCGCGCGCAGATATGCATGCACTGACGCTGGACGACTTTGCTTCGCTTGGCTTGACCAAAGGCGCAAGCAACAAGCTGCACTCGAAGCTGCACGCACCTACGGTCGATACTACATCGGGCACTGATGCTGCGGCCACTGGTGCAACAACGGCACCGTCAGCAACAGCTGTGACAGCAACCAACACAGCAGAAGAGCCAACATCAACAACACCAGCAGTCGGCACAGCAGAAGCAGCACCTGCGAAATCGCAGGGGGATGCGGATGCAGGCGCGCGTGCAAGCAAGACCACGCTGGTTTCGTGGCCAGACTTGTGCGACGCTTAGCAACAACAACAACAACAACAACAACAACAACAACAACAACAACAACAACAACAACAACAACAACAACAACTTAACCAACAACAACAACTTAACCAACAACAACAACAAGTGATAGACATTGTTCTCACGTTACATTCCTTTCTCAGCGCCCCCCTTGCCCAAACTCCCCACCCTTCGACTGATTACATTAGCTGGTGTGAAGGCGTGAGCCATCAGCGCCCCCCCCCCCTCTTCCCTCGCCTTCATGCCCCCTTGTTGTTTCGCGCCTTCGCTGGTTATCTCACATCTCATGTTTCTCTCGGTAGTTCTTGCACACTCCACGATGTGTTGCTTGCATGCATGCACGCATCACGAATTGGGGGGCTGTATTAATCGTTGTGAGCACGGGTAGCTGCCGTTTCGTTTTAGAGCGTCGTTTTGCTTCGCTGTGGAGTGCTGTGCTGCTTTGCACGTTGTCTTGTTTGCGCTGTTTACTCATGGCCTTGCTGGTGACCGAGGTCAAATGCGTATGGTATGTAGTTCCCCTGTGCCGCCGCAATGTGGCTGCAATACGTAGCTGTTGTCTGCCTGTGTGCCTGTTTGCTTGAGTCTGTCTGGGCTCTTGTGCCTGTCTGCGTGCACGCGAAAGGATGTGTATGTGTGTGTGTGTGTGTGTGTGTGTGTGTGTGTGTGTGTGTGTGTGTGTGTGTGTGTGTGTGTGTGCGCGCGCAAGTGCTTTGTGTTGCCCGTGCAATGGCAGGGTGTGCTTGCTGTTGAGGCAGGTGCCAGCTGGTTTCTGTGTCGCCTGCCACCCCACACGCTGCAACTACTCTCCTCTTGCACACACCTACATACACGCGCGCGCGCGCGCCACGACCATCGGAGCATGCGCTCGCACACGCTTTGTTCGTTCGTTGCCTGAATGCCTAGGAGATATATGTCATAGTTGAATCAACACCAAATACACCCATCTTCCTGCGGAGTGCTTGCAAGCAAGCCAAATCGGGCAAGGAGGGGGGGGGGGTTGTTTACTTTGTTGAATGAGCAATGTGTCGCTTGCAGGGTATCGTCAATGGAGTGCGGTAACAAGGACTGGTAGGAAGGCAAGAAAGGCGCACACGCACACGTGCACGCACACGTACACGCGCACGCACATGCAAAGAAGAAAGAAGGATCTCACGGTGAGGGCGCTGTTGCGCCTCGAAGGAAAGCAGCGAATAAAGCAGCTAGCGCAACTGTTGTGATTGTTGTCCCCTGCTGCTGCTGCTGTGGTTGTGCAAAGTCGCGGTTGCACTGGACATATGTTGCGAGGCCGCCAACGTCGTACCGCCCGGAGATCTGGCTCGCGTAACACGCGTGCTGTCGAAAGGTGGTCGTGGTCGTCGTGTGGTTGAGGTAATGGGCGCGGGTGTTCGTGGCAAGCCTGTTCCCATGCAGCAGAAAGGACGGGCCACCACCAGAACAACACGTAGACGCACACAAACGGGCAGCCACATGCATGCACACACACACACACACACACACACACACACACACACACACACACACGTATGCACGGACCTTGGCGATGAGATAACGGATAAAGTTGCCCGGCGCATCATAGGTCGCCAGCGGCGTCTTGCCCATGTGCTCGTCAAGAAACGTTTCAAGGTGCGGCAGCGCTGTTCGGCGGAGGATGTAGAAGCACGGGCAGCCAAGACGCGAGTGTGTCGCTTCTGGTCCCGGTTTCTCGAGAAATGCCGTCACCTGCCACCACCCCGGCGCATGTACACGTGTGAGGCATTGGGCGTCATTAGAGCGTGACATGCATGAAGCACGCGTGAAAATCAGCTATTGCTTTGTTTCCTTAGTGGTGCTGTTCACTTACCCGAACATGCACACGCACGCACGCACGCAAAGGCAATACACACGCGCGCACACACAGACCACACACACACACACACACACACACATACACACGCACACGCACACAAACGCACACAAATGCACACACACGCACACCTGGCGTTTTGTGTTGACTTCAAGGATGCCGCACTTCTTGGTTGTTGCGTCATCGACATTGTAGCTGAGGAGCAGCGACGCATCGGGGTGGCTGTCAAACTCATGCAGCTTGTCTGCAAGATGAAAGTCTTGTTTGAACAGGGTGTCACCACCAACGACAATCAGGTCGTCTGCACACTGGAACCTGGATGCGCCCAGCTGAATAGCTGCCACCGCGCCGCTGCGGGTCTATGTGTGTGTGTGTGTGTGTGTTTGTGCATGTGCATGTGCATGTGCACGCATGTGTGTGTGTGTGTGCATGTGCATGTGTGTACATGTGTGTGTGTGTGTGTACAATCGTCAGATGCGATGGCAGGGCATAGTGCATACAATGAGATTGCTACTCTCCCTGTTGTTTGCCTCTCTTTGTCTGCGCAGCAATAGCTGGGGTGAGATGTGGAGCACCTCTTACACAAGCGAGCGCACAAGTCCCAAGCACGGCAAGTCAACCAAGCAGCATGCAAAAGCATCAAGAACAGTCATGGCAGCCGCACCAGCACGCTTGTCAACAAAACCTCGTTTGTGGTGCTGCCGTCGCAGATGAGGGTGATGTTATCAAACTGACGAGCCCAGTCTTCAAAGAGGTGGTGGTTGGTGGCGTTTGTGACAACCAGGATCTCGGAGATGCGATCGCGGTGCCTTTGCAGCTCCTTCACCCAGCGGGAGATGAGGGGTACATTACCTGTGTGGTTGGAACCACCATCACATACACACACACACACACACACATACACACACGTTTACACACACACACACATGCACGATTACACACACACACACACACAACATCACACACATGCACACACACATGTAATGTTTAGTGGTTGGCGTGTAACGTTGGCTGCAACAGGAAAGCAAAGCGCACGCAAAGCCACCTTGCAACTGCGCACTACGTGATGTGACTACGAACCGATGGGAAGCAGCGGCTTTGGGACGCCAGAGAGGTGGTGGTATGTGGGAGACTGGTCAATGTCTCGCTGCAGGCGAGTGCCATATCCAGCAGCCAAGATGAGTGCTCGCATCGTCGTCGTCGTTTGAGACAGTTGTTGGCAATTGTAGAAATTTATTGAAATATGTACATAAACGTCGTAGGTGCTCTGTGGCGTGTGTCTGCGTATGTGTGTGTGTGTCTGTGTGTGTGTTGAGTGTTCGCGTGCTTGTTTCAAGGACAGACAATACACACACACACACACACACACACACACACACACACACACACACACACACACACACACACACACACACACACACACACACACACACACACACAAGTGCAAAGGTGGTAGCTGTTGTGGTCACTTGAGAATTGGAGCTTGCAGCTGGCGCCTGCGCTGCTTCTGTTGCCGATACAACTGCAATCGGACAATGCGCGCGCGAGAGAGAGAGGGGGGAGGGGCAGGGGGAGTGTTGGCAACACAGCACGGAGTGGAATGTGAGAGATCGAGAGAGGGAGGGAGTGGGAGGTGGAAAGCAACAGGGATGTGGCATGGTGGCATGTCAACGAGCAGAGCGGAACAGATGAGAAAGAGCACAGACAGAGCGCGGGTCAAACAAAACCGAGCACACATGGGAACACAACATGCAGTGCGATCTGGAGTGAAATGGGCACACACACACACACACACACACACACACACACACACACACACACACACACACGGCGCGCGCGCCACATACCGCGATGACGCGCTCTCGCTCTTGCTCCAATCGCAGCTGCTGCACCGGCGCCATCTTTTTCCGCTGCTCCTTGGACAGGTTCGAGTCTTTGTTTTTTGTGGGGCAGATGAATGGGCGCAATGGTGATTGGAAGCGTACATGTGTGTGTGTGCGTGCGTGTGTTTTCGTTCGTGTGTGTGTGCGTGTGTTTTCGTTCGTGTGTGTGTGCGTGTGTTTTCGTGTGTGTGTGTGTGTGTGTGTGTGTGTGCGTGTGTGTTCGTGTGTATGTGTGTGTGTGTGTGTTCGTGTGTGTGTGTTTTCGTGTGTGTGTGTGTGTGCGTGTGTGTGTGTGTTTTCGTGTGTGTTTTCGTGTGTGGATAAGAATCAGTTTCTCGTAGAAACAAGCAGTGTGATCGCAGAAACAAGCAGAGGCATATTGCAGGGCGGCGCGCTTGGTGTTAACACACGCTCGTAAACCACACCCCACGTACGTTTTTTGCGAGGCTGTGCTGTCAACTCCGGGGGTGCTTGGGCAACCTCTCCAAACGCAACTACGTCCTTCTTTGGTTCTGCAGCGCAAACATGATGCAGAGCGTGAGCCGTGCAATACCATCACAGAGAGAGAGAGAGAGAGTATGTAGGGGAGGGGTGTGTGTGTGTCTGTGTGTGTCTGTGTGTCTGTGTGTGTGTGTGATTTGTGTGTGCGTGTGTGCGTGTGTGCGGACGTGTGTGTCTGTGTGTGTGTGTCTGTGTATCTGTGTGCTCTCTCTCTCTCTCTCTCTCTCTCTCTCTCTCTCTCTCTCTGTCTTCCTCCCTCTCTCTCTCCTTGTGTCAAGGCCATACAATCATTCCAACGAAGAACGTACCGTGCTCTTGCTCTTCTTGGGCGAGCATGGCCTCTGCACGGCGTTCTTGGCGCTTGCGCTCCTTCTTTGTCTTCCACTGCTTCTTCTTGATTTGCCGGAGGGTCTTTGTTTCCTGCTTCACGGGCTCTGTTGCCGAGGCGTGTCTGAAGATGATCTTGCCGCCGCCTTGCTCCTCCAGGTGTTGCCTGAGCGCCTCCGGGTCCATCGGCGCCTGTGGTAGGAGCTCCTCATCGTCGTCGCCCTCGCCCTTGCGCCCCTTCTTGAACTTGTTTTTCTTGCGGGAGTTCTTCGCCTTCTTCGTTTGCCCCGGCAGGCCCGGGATGGATGGGATCGCGGGCAGGCCGCTTGGCAGGATGCCCTGTGTCACCACCTGTGCGCGTCCGACGTCGCCCTCCGCGGTGATGATGTCGTTGACACCAAAGGTGTCCCTGGCCGAGTGGCGGACGTGCTTCTTTCCCCGCTTCTTCTTCGGTGCCTGCGACTGACCAATCGCTTTCACCTTCTTGTACCGTGCAACGCGCCCCATCTTGTCGCTGTATTTGTCTGTGTGTATCTGTGTTGTGTGTGTATATATATATATATATGTATATCTAAGTGAATGTGTGTGTATCCGTGTGCACGATGTGTGTGTGTATCCGTGTGTGTCTTCGTGTGCGTGTATCTGGCAAAGCAGCAACGTGCGAAGCAGGTCCTGCTTGCTACAATTTATAATGTCGTAACAGACCTCCCAAGATGATGATGATCGCAAGCACCACAACAACAACAGCGGTTGCTGGTCTGACGCTGTGTTTGTGGTACGTGGCGTTTGCGGTAGCCGCGGTGGCCGTGCGATGGCACTGGCCGTGGCTTGGGCTGGTGCTAAGCACGCTAGCGCCCGTCATCATGGTTGTAATTGCGCCGACCACGCTGCCGCTGGAGGTCGTGGTCATCTACTCCTTTGGAACCATCACGCAATACATGCGCGTGTGCGATGTCGTCGTGGCGGCGCTGGCCCAGCACAAGACACCCACGAGAAGACCCAGAAGAGGAAGCAGTATCCGCCTCAACGCCAGCACACGCGAGGGTGAGACACTGTCGTCGCAATCCCATGATCAGCGCACGCCCTCGCCACCCACGTCCCCGACAGTACCACCAACAGTACCACCGCCATCGCTATCATCATCAGCGCCATCACCATCATCATCAGCGCCATCACTATCATCAGCGCCGGACGGGGTTTCAGTAAATGTGAAGCAGCCGCGTCGTCACCGCCGGCATGCTGTGTTCTTTTCGAGCTCCACCGCGTTTGCCGTCATGTACATTCTCGCGTACCATGACCTGACCCTGGGCAAGTGGGTGTCGTCGAGCGGGGCGGCGCTGCGCGTTGTCTGGCGAGCGAGCCGCTCTGGCCTGCTTGTGCATGCGCTGTCGGCGGCGGCCCTTGGCCTCCTGATGGGCCTGCCGCACCTCACTGTGGAGCAGGCGAGGGAGGCGCGCCACCTGCCGCACGACGCAGACAACCACCACCTGAACGAGGCGGGACGCCCGCCCTGGCAGCCGCCCGCACACTCGGAGCTGCTGCCCACATTCTTCTCCTTCTCCGGTCTGTTTGGCTCCGCGGAAACTGCAGCAGTGGCTGGTCGATATGCACAGGCCGTCGCAGCCCTCGCCGTGCACACTGTCGTGTTGACGTACGGGGTGACCAGTCTGTACTTTGTGGACATGCTGTGGGGCAGCATCCTGTCCCTTGGCTGCCTGTCGTGCCGCAGCACGGTTGACATGCCCCGCCTCTGGGCAGCGGGCACGGTGCGGGAGTTTTGGCGGAGCTGGAACTTGGAGATGCAGCACCTGTTGCATCTGGCCATCTATTGGCCACTGAAGCCCGTGCTCGGCGGCTGGGCGGCGGAGGCGGCCACGTTCGCTGCGTCTGCGCTGCTGCACGTGCTGCCGTTTGCGGTGGGCGGTGCAACGGCGCGCCACCTGGCCATGATCGCCGCCTTCTTCATGGCGCAGCCGTGCTTGATGCTGCTGGAAAGTTGTTGTGCTGCTGGACACGTGTTTGTGCTTCGTGGGTGGCTGTGGGTGTGGGGGTCCTTCTTTCTCACCACGTTTCTTCTCACCCTCCCTGCCATTGAGTTTGCTCTTCCTCACCTCCTCTTCCTCTTCCATTGAAAATGGGCCAGTGTGTGTGTGTGTGTGTGTGTGTGTGTGTGTGTGTGTGTGTGTGTGTGTGTGTGTGTGTGTGTGTTTGCTTGTGTATGCGCTTGTGTGTTTTATGTTTGTGTGTGTGTGTGTTTGTTTGTGTGTGTGTGTGTGTGTGTGTGTTGCACTCCCTCACTCCAACACTCCACCTTGGTTATGCTTACTGATGCATCTGTTACTGCTTTGGCTCAGGCTTGCTCGTGTTCGTGTGTTCGTGTTCGCTTCGTGTGTTCGTGCTGCGCCCTACTACACCACTGCCAAATGAATGCATACTGCATGCTTTCGTAGTTGTTTGCTTGAGGAAGCAAAGGGCGAGCAAATCCCGAGCGGAGAACGTGTCTGTAATCACAACACACACACACACACACACACACACACACACACACACACACACACACACACACACACACACACACAC